TTTTTCTTATTATTTATCTACACTATTTTCCAAAGTAATTTTATTATTTATACTATAATAGCATAAGTTTATATCGAGAACGATTGAAAAATATGGGAATAAAGGAAGAACTAAATCACAATCAGAAAAAGGAACTATACTAATTAAAGAGCCGGAACTAGTTCCAATCATTCCTTTCTCGGAATAGTGAACTGTTCTTTTCGGAACTACCCATCTCTAGAAATTGGTGTAGGTTCCAGAAATATGGGACCTATATTTGACAGCTTCTAACTTGATTTAAATTTTTTTTATAAACAAGATATATGAGAATTTTTCTCCAAATTGTTTGAATATATTAAAGTTTGTTACCCAGTGTTAGAAACAAAAAATAAGCGCAGATTTTTTCTATAGCTCACATTAATGGTTTTCTCTTTACTCTAGGCTACAACTTAGATTAGAAATGTGCAACTAAAATAAAATAAAAATGTTGAGCAAACTTGTTCACCACAAAACAGTTTATTCGAAAAAAAATCCAATCTGAAATTTGATTACCAAAGGGAGTTTTCTAATTCTACTTTATTACAACAATGTCGATTTATTTGATAGTGAATTGGTTGTTTTGTATCTTCCTACACAAATGCACACATACATAAATATTGACATTGTTGTGAACATTTAGTTTGAATTGTTTTTTTTCACAGTTGAAATAATTTGTGATATACTTTTTTGATAATTAGTTTTGATTGAACATATTTAATTGGTTGGTTTTGAAAAAATATTGAAAAACTTTTATAGTTTTTTATAATGTGTAATTTTTACGGCATCAGATTTAAATAAAATAATCTGATTCCTTCAACACCGTTTTGGCACTCTCGACTATTTGTGACCCTCACTTGGCATGAGAGATTGGGACATTTACCTGGAAATAAATCTATAAAAAATACCAAAATTTATTGAGACATTTAGTAGGAGAAAACAAAGGTCTTATATTTTAAATGTTTAATGAAGAAGTTGTTTACCCCTGAAAAGAATATATCGACGCCTCCGAACCATAGTATGCTAAGTCGACTTAGCATGTTTTAAAGTTCTTTACGTTTTTAGATACTACGGTCCTTAATTTACATTCACTGAAATTTTGGTAATCATCGGCCAATCCAAACCAAAGTTATAAACAAAAATGTACTTAGCATGGCACATACGATTAACACTAGAACGCCGAAGGCAGTCTTTTTGACCGCTTTCCAATTTCAAGTACAAAAGCAACTGTGCATTTATTGACACTTTTTTTTAAAATTTGGTGAATTTTTTATAATAAACGTAATTCTATGAGGTACAGAAAGTCACCATATTTAAAAAAAAAGAATGATTAATGGTGTTACTTTTGTACTTGAAATTGGAAAGCACAAAAATACTAGTGCATAATTTTAAATATTGAAATTTTTACTGAAAAAAATTAGCATAATTGGCCGGAGCCTCGATATTATATAAAAAATAGCACCAATACTTGTGCGTAATTTTAAATATTGTAATTTTTACCCAGAAAATTACCGATAATTGGCCGGGCCTTTTATATAATCCGAAATTTTCTATTGGAAAATCCGGACTTGGACAATCCCATTTTCTATATCAAATATCCTACGAGAAGAGTATCCTAAGTTCGAAAAAGCTTAATTTTAAATATCGTAATTAACACCGACATACTAAAGTGGTCACTTCGACTCCAAACTTTTGAGGAGTTGCAAAATATACCCTCCACCTTATGGGTATATTTTGAAAAAATCACAGTTATTGTAACTTTTCATTTACAGAATATAATATTTCGTCGTATTTTGCTAGTGTCATTTGTATTCATTCGAGCGTGTACTTTCCTTTTAATGCCTATCGAACATAATGACCAATTTTGTGGTTTACGATGTTGTAACGTCTACTTTGATGATGCTTTCAAACGAGATACAACCACATACAACAACATCGACATGAGCAAGAACTACAACAACCACAACAGCAAAACATGCTAATAATATACTCACCTAAAGGACACAATCGATATTATGGTGATGTTGGCGGTGGTTCTAGCAGCGATAAAACCTGCTTTCTATCTATCGAGGAAATCGTTCGATATTCAAGGACATGCACAACAAACAATCTCCCCCCGAAAAAAGGAGAAGGGGAGTGAGTAGCAAACAAATACGCAATTGTTATTTTGGTTCAGATTCACCTTCGGCAATATTACATAAAACGTTAAGAAACATTAAAATAATTTTATTTTTATATTATGATGGCTTCTGTGGTTATTTTTTTTTTTGTAGTTATAATTTTAGTTTGTATGCGAAAAAAAATTCATAACAAATGAAAATCTGAACGGAAAAAATATTTTTTGTTTACCTCAAACAATTGTTTGCTTGTGGTTCTACATAACAAGGCAATGTTGTGTGGTATATTTGCAACTGACATATCCTATGTCGTATATAACACATTGTTTTTTTGAAAGATCTCCGTCCCTGGTTGGCAATTTTGAAGGTTTCGCGTTTTAGTGATACGAAATTCTCAAATGACATTTGGTTATAAAAAATGTTTTGTAAGGAATTTATAAGAAGTTTCTGAGAGAATATCCCTAAAAAACTAAAGACTCTGACTAGCATCAGTGGCGAGGTCCGAACCTATATTCATTACGGTCTTACAATATTTTCCCCACTAAAAATAGTTGTTTTATAAGAAAAACATAAAAAAACGGTCTTTTAGTCTTTGAAAAACGAATAATGAAAATGTTATAGTCTCTGAAAAAAATCATAAAAATCCTCACACATATAGCCTTTATAAAAATGTTTGTAAAAAAACTCAATTCTTTATACAAATTCCCCTCAGACCTTTTTGCAATTTTTCAGGTTCAGTTCAATGTGACCCTGGCGATTTTAACCTCAGTACTCCTTGCATATTTAATTTAATTATTCAGCTCTTCGAAATGTTCTTAACGTTTGCAATTTCTACAAGTTTATATATTTTTTTAATTTCTTTCTGAATGCCTTCTATAAAATGTTCTGTAATCAAAACAATTAGACATAGGTACATACCAATTAGAGGTGTATTCAATTACACAAACACATTAGTGTTTTAATCGCTTGTAATTGTAGTGGTATTAAAATAAAATTAAATCTAAAAGCCAGCGGTTGATGTCAAGTTAGGCCAAAATAATACCCTACATGCTCTTTTGTTAAATAAAAAAAATTAATAATATTAAATATCTCCGATATGTTTGATTGGCGGATTGATTCTAAAATTGGCCTATGATTTCCAAAACTGCTATGATCTCCTAAACCCGCATTGTGGCAGGGAACAAGTTAGAATTCATTTTTGAATGACAATTTATGAGTCCATTTCTAATTGTTTCCAATTAGAAATATCTCGTCCCTCAGAATTTTGATAGTCCTTGGTGCATTATTTAACCAAAGTGCTTGTAATTTGGAATCATTGTTCAAGTGGAAAGTGGACATGTTTGAATAATATGTTCTGAAATCTTAAAGAACATAGAATTAAAAAAATAAATTTTTTATATAAGCAGAAACTTTTTAGAAATTCTCCCCCATTCTCGGTGTTAAAAATTTAGTATTTCGAATCTACACTAATTCAAGAATGTCTCTGTGAAATTTCAAGTGAAAATCTCAACAACTCTTGATGATATAGCCGATTTATTGTGCCAGCATCAAGTGACGGTAAGAGTGATTCTCAAACTTTAAACACATTATTCTCGAAATTGTTTTTTTTACGAATGGCGGACACGATAACTCAAAAACTAGTAATCCGATCGATTCCAAATTTTGGGACCTTTCACTGTGAGTGTAAAGCTAGGATAAATACAATCGGTCAAGATCTTCCTTATTTTTAAACTTAGTTTGACCACAACTATGTTTAAATAGCTTTACACTCACAGAGAAACGTTCCAAAATTTGGAATCGATCGGATTATTAGTTATTGAATTATCGTGTCCGCCATTCGTAAAAAAACACAATTTCGAGAATAATGTGTTTAAAGTTTGAGAATCACTCTGTCCCCTTAAGCCCATTTTAGGTTCTGATACAAACATTTAAATATATCAATATAAGAAAACATGTACTTAAACCACTTTTAAAATAAACGACTAAATTAAAATTACAACAAATCTCATATGATCAATTCATATTATACACGAATTCCTTTTAAATTTACTTCCGAATTTCGATCCAATAATTTTCGACAGTTGATGAATACATATATTAGAATTATAATAGCATTTACCCTTGGATAAAAATAGAATCTAAAGTGGATCCGACAGTCGTCAAAACCATTAGAATTTCATTTGTCGGAAAACCACACGTCTTTAATTATAATTCGGTTTAGACAACTTCCCAGCCGATTTTCGAACAATATGCTATCCTAACACTGACCGATAGTTTTACTGCGGGGGTTTATATGTGATTTGGTAGGGTACTAAAATGCACACTATGTGAGTGTGTGCAACGCATTATAGATCAAAAAGTCAATGTAATTAAATTTATTTTTCCATTTGAAATTGTATTTGTTTTTTTACTTAAACTTCAGAACTAAAAACAAAACCACTTTGCAAAAACAAAAATAAAATATTAATGAATGTTTTATATGTGCATTTTTTATTACAGAAATATTTTAATCCACAAAAAGTGCAGTGATTTTCGCCTGGATAAACACAAATGACAGCTGACGCTGCAATCGTTGTCTAAAAAAAATAATAAAAAATAAAACCACAAGCGAAGAAAATAAGCATATAATAAAAGCCTAAAAAGCAAGCAACAACAAATGCATGTGGTTTTTTCCATTGGCCATTGGCAAAGTGAACTTTGCCCCCAGAAAAAAGCTCCGACAAACTAAAGAAAACAAAACGTTGAAAATTAATGAAAACAATTTTCATAACAATTCATGTGTTTCGAATGCAGACTAGACTCAACTCAAAAATGTAGAATTCTATAAAAGAACAACAGAAGAAGACAACAACAAAAACCAACGATAAAATGAATTTCAATATCCTAACACCACAACTCGAACGTGTCCCGGCCATTGATCAAATAATCCACGTGGCCAATGGCATAACAACAAATATAACGCGTAATGTCTTTGGCATTGCCAATTCAACACTGAAACTATTAAATGGACCCACGGACGGTACACGTTCCGACACACATGGCAACTCAATGTCATCGCTCAATGATAACAACGAGGACACAGTCACAAGTACCACCGCCCGCCACTGGCTACTGCACGAAGGTTACTTAGCCAACAGCAGCTATGCTTTTCTAACCAACCTCTCGTACACAAGACCAAATGTCTATGTACCCGCCAGCACCCTACCAGCCATCGAAGATGATGAAATACGACTGGAACATGCTCCTCAGCTCTCCAAATCCGCCATGATAAAGGTTTACGTTTTAAGTTTGATGGCCCTATTTTCCCTGCTCGGCAATGTTCTGACCATGTGGAATATATACAAGACCCGCATGGCTCGTCGCAATTCCCGACACAGTTGGAGTGCCATCTATTCGTTGATATTTCATCTGTCGATTGCAGATGTTTTGGTGACGGGTTTCTGTATCATTGGAGAGGCAGCCTGGTGCTATACGGTGCAGTGGTTGGCAAATGAGCTGACCTGTAAATTGGTGAAACTATTTCAAATGTTTAGCTTGTATTTGTCGACATATGTGCTGGTACTGATTGGCATAGATCGTTGGATTGCAGTCAAATATCCGATGAAGTCGTTGAATATGGCCAAGCGATGTTATCGTCTGCTGGGTGGTACCTACATACTGTCGTTCCTGTTGAGTTTGCCACAGGTAAGTAAGTCGTTGAATCATAATAGCAATTTTGATAATGATTAGTTTTATATTATAAGAAATCGTTTTTTAATAAGAACCCAGAGTGAATATTTTTCAACATTCACCTCAGATTTTTAAATCCAATTTTTTAACAGTCAAATGTGTGGATTTTAAAGGCTTTAAATTTTGAACAAAATCCCTCACCGATTTATGCGTGAATTTTTTTTGATCAATCCGCCCGTATTTAGATGTGGATTTTTGAACAATACTTTTCAATTTAACAAGAACAGATTTAGACGTAGATTCTCACAACAATTGTTTTTTCAACATCCTGAATAGATTTAGGTGTGTATTTAAAAAAAAAAATAATTTTATAACATCCCGCGCCAATATAGGCTTTGATTTTTGAACAGCAATTTTTAACACCCCGCATCAACATTGGCTTTATTTTTTTAACAATAAATTTCTATTGTCTCACAGATTACCGCCTCTTTTTCAGTATTCTGAAAATTTGCCCTGACTTTCCAATAGAAGGGGTCGTAGTTTTGCATTCTTAGTTAATGGAGGGCGAACAACATATTTGCAAAAATTTTGCAATAAAGATCCATGTTTTGACATAACCCCTATAAATGGCCCGCACCATTTTATCTATTTTGATGGTTCTATGCGCTTTGGAGTTTGCCATTTCGGATTCCTGATTAGTTATAACATAGATTCCCTTTTAAGGCCTCGTCCCATTTTCGATATTTCGAAGACAGGAATGTATCTTTTTATTTGTAGAGTAAAGAACTTGTTCGCTAACATTTTTAATATAGGACTATGCTGATATAGCCGCCATGTAAATGGTGTCTTCTAAATGGCCCATTCCTAACCCAACGACATGATTTTAGATATTTGTATGCTCTTGAGTACAATTGAAGTGCTGTAATTTGACATTCCGTTTTGAATATAGATCCATGGTAGGACATATCCCCATGTAAAGCTCTGGTTCTATTTTGGGTATTTTAATGATTCTTGCCGAATTTTCGAACAGATGTAACTTATCCAACATTCCAAACTTTGTTGCAAAAAGTTCAAAGCATGGCTGCTTCATTTCCTGTATTTTTGATGTGCACCTCATTCTGGAGAGTATTACAACTTCGGCCTGGTCAAACGTATCGGCATTACATGTTTGATGTCGATTATTATTTCGCCAGTTAACATGTTTCATTTTCACGGAAAATATCTTCACAACGATCTGTTTTAAACTACATTAAATGTAAATTGACCATAATAATAATTGTTATTTTTAAAAATATATTTATGTAATTTAGTTCCCAACATAAATTTCATATTAAATGACGTCAATGGCGTTCCAGATAATAGTCTAATTGTCCGAACTAATTTTAAGAATTTCAATCTAGTAATTTCCTAATATTCTTGCGGCTAATCAATGTTGTAATTTGACTCCAACTAATCAATTTATGGTCCATACATTAATTAATTGGAAATTTTGTTATTATTGTTTCAAAAATGCCACCGCAAACCCAAATTGTGGCTTGCTTTGAATTTTATTAGTGCAGCTTTTGTTGACTTGGGTTACAAACCGCACATGCATTCCTTTGAGCATCGTTTACGTTGCCTCAGAAATTAGTTGGAATCATTGGAAATGGAGGAAATTAAACTTTAGCTGCAGAATGTAGACAAATATTATTTAAAACAAAAGTTGTTTATATGTCTGTGCCGGGTATTGTGAAACATTATTTTAAAAAATTATTTAATCATGATAATATCTTAACGAATTAAATAATTCGACTCAATTCACATAATATTATTAATGACTATTTCGCGTTAATTATATTGAAAGCCGGACAATTCTCGCAATTAATTTCCGGCCTGTAAAAAGCCGTTTGATAAAATGTTGCAATCATACTAATTAGAGTTGGAAAGAACAATTTTCAACTGCTCTAAAAGGGAGAATTGTGTAATGAAGATGAACTGTAGGGCGAATATAGAAAATATCGATGACTTAGGCAAAAGGGGAATATGGTTAATTGGTAGAACATAGCGATTGATTGAATATTTCTTTTGTTTTGATTATATTACCCAATAGAAATGTTACAGATACACAAATGCAATCAGATTAGGAAATTTGGCTAAAATTAGATACATAAAGAAAAAAATCATTATAGAAAATCATTCAAAAGGGAGTAACCGATTTCATCCAAATTTCATACGTTGTAATATTTATTTACAAGTTATAAAAAATCGGCCCACTTCTCTTAGTACCTCCCCCACAAATTGTCAAAGTTTGAAATGTTTTTCAATTGCATATGAAGCGAACGAAATATTCAATGTCATAGAAACTTTTACCATGCCTTAAAATGTTTAGATCCAGTATCAAACGAATAGAATGTGTACATCGTAATACGTTGATCAATCCCATATGTCCTCTATTTCTGGTAACATATCCACACAAAAGTTGAAAATTGTGAAAATCTGTAGATCAAATATAAACCGAATGTAATCTAAGATTTAATTTCGACTGTGCACATCGTAATATTTTTACTCTATCTGGACCAACTCCGAAGGTGGTCATCGGTCCACTAAACAAGAAATGTCAAATTACAGTCACATTGGTGTCCATAAATGCATCTATATGGACAAATAATTGCGAATTAGTTTTTCATTCATAAAGTGCCCGAAATGTCAAAATACACCAACCTGGAACACGTGACTATCTTCATGACGTATTTTTCTGGAAAATTTCACCAATTTCGGTATCGTTATATGGCGAGGATAGCTCTATAAACAAATTTTAAAACGAGAAATAGTTATATGAGAGCTTTACAAAACCAAAGATATCCCATAGAAAATTTCCAAGTGCAATAAAAAATATCGTCATAGAATTTTACTCTGAGGAAAACGGCATCACCGGAAAATGTGTCATGGATAGGCAGACCGAATGACAACGTTTAATATACTCTCCACCTTACAAAATTTACTTTGTATACCACTAAAGATTTTAATAAGAATAAAAACCATATTTTTTATTATCATCCTTATCCTCCACTGCTACTTTTTTATGCCAAATTACTTTAATATGCTTTAAATTATCCCCAAAGGATAAATGTTTGTAGAAGAATTACAACAACGAATTATAATTACAGGCAAACATTTTTTTGTTATAATATCATACAGCTTCTAATTATTGTCCCTTTACAGCATGACAAAAGAAAATCTCAGTTGTCCTTTTTTCCAAGGATCTACAAGTTGTAAAATTTTATATTTATATGTCTTTTTTGCAGCTAGGAAAAATGTTCCAACGCTATTAAACAAAGGGAAAAAACTTTGAAATGAGCTACCACAAAGTTTTGCAATGTTTGTTGTAGTTTTTTTTTGTCTAGTGTTTCCGTTATTCTTTTAATTCCCATTCGATCCTTGTGGACTTTTTTTAATATTTTATTATAGTTGTAAGGATTTTGTCATGCTTTAGTGGAGTATCCTTAAAAGTTTTTGTTTTTGTTGCACACAAGAACCTTGTTGTACGACACTTACACACGCACACATCTCACATCCCGCCTGCTAAAATAATGCAATTAAGAGAAATGGTTTGAAGCGAATAAAGGTACACCTACTTCCTTTTGCAATGTTGTACTTGAAAACCATGTTGAAGAAAAGTGCTTTTTATACCCTTCACCACACTGTGGTACAGGGTATTATGTCTTTGTGCATATGTTTGTAACAGGCAAATATAATCGAGATAGACCCATGGTTCCTTCTGAGAATATACATAGAATCACTTTCTAAGTCGATTTATGCATGTCCGTCTGTCCATGTTAAATTGTAAACAAAGTACAGGTCGCATTTATGATCCGAATTGGATGAAATTTGGCATAGGTCACTTATTCGGCCCAAGGACGAACCCTATTGAAATTGGGAAAAATCGGTTCAGATTTAGATATAGCTCCCATATATATATTTAACCGATTTAATGTAAGCGGTCCATATATATCTTTCGATTTGCACGAAATTTGGTACAGCCTAATCATTTAGGTCTAGAATGATGTCTGCCAAGTTTCTTAAAAATCGGTCCAGATTTAGATATAGCTCCCATATATAGTTTCGTCCGATTTCATGTAAAGTGGTGCCCCAAAGTCCCTATATATCTTTTGATTTGCACGAAATTTGGAATAACGTACTGAAATAAACCTACAGTGATGTCTGCCAAGTTTCGAGAAAATCGGTCCAGATTTAGATATAGCTCCCATATATAGTTTCGTCCGATTTCATGTAAATGGTGCCCCAAAGTCCCTATATATCTTGCGATTTGCACGAAATTTGGCATATCGTACTGAATTAAGCCTAGAGTGATGTCTGCCAAGTTTCGAGAAAATCGGTCCAGATTTAGATATAGCTCCTATATATAGTTTCGTCCGATTTCATGTAAATGGTGCCCCAAAGTCCCTATATATCTTTCGATTTGCACGAAATTTGGCATAACGTACGGAATTGAGCCTAAAATGATGTCTGCCAAGTTTCGTGAAAATCGGTTCTGATTTAGATATAGCTCCCATATATAGTTTCGTCCGATTTCAAATAAATTGTGCATCAAAGTTCGTATATGTCCTTCGATTTGCACGAAATTTGGCATAACGTACTGAATTGAGCCTAGAATGATGTCTGCCAAGTTTCGAGAAAATCGGTCCAGATTTCTATATAGCTCCCATATATAGTTTCGTCCGATTTCATGTAAATGGTGCAACAATGTCGCTATATATCTTTCGATTTGCACGAAATTTGGCACAACATACTGAATTGAGCCTAGAGTGATGTCTGCATTGTTTCGTGAAAATCGGTCCAGATTTAGATATAGCTCCCTTTTATTATAGATTGATTTTAAGTAATTGACGCACCATTGAACCAATAGGCTGATAGGAACAAAACGTTCTGAAATTAGTATAACCTGACCTGTGACACGTTTTTTTGAAATCGCTTAATATTTGGATAAAGCTTCCATATATATTTTCGCCCGATTTCATGTAAATTGGGCATCAAACTCCTCATGTTAGTCAGATTGGCATCAAATTTTGCACAACTTACAAAATTGAGCATAGAATTACGTAGTTGCGTTTTGTAAAAGTACAGACATAGCCCAACGGATGGCCTATTTATATTTGATTGATTCACATTTAGATAAATATCACATATTTTAATATATTAATATACCCATAGTGGTGAAGGGTATCATATAGTCGGCCCCGTCCGACTTTACTACTTTCCTTACTGGTTTTTTCTGTAAAAGTACACATGGCAACCACCTATGAGTTGTCATCTCTTTGAACTGAATATGCAATGCGAAACCGGTAAAATAAACATTTGCCTTTGAGCATTGCATCATTGTTTTGGAATAAACCCCCCCCCCCCAAAAAAAAAAAACGCAGGAGGTATTTGTTTCATTTTTTCGTAGATTGGTAGTTGGCTATTTTCTCTGTGTTTATGGGGACTCAAAGACAGCAAAAACCACGTCGCTGGTACCAACAATTTGTAGGAGCTACTGCAGCAGCTTCTATAGAAAAAAAATTAACCGGATGGCATTCTGCATGTAAATAAACAATTGTGACCATAAAATAAAAACTGTCCAAGTGGCTAATAAACCGTAAACACACATCAGTAAAAATTGCATTTTGAATGGAAAGGCGTAGTTACCATAACCGAGCCCAAAAGGGAATTCTATCAGAATTTTAGCTGTTATGGTCAACATATCTAGATCTAGAGATGTGCTTAAAGGCACCACTTAAAACCAGTAATCTTTATGGGAAATTATCACAAATTTTTCCTTATTAATTACGTTTTTATAAACGGAAATTCTGCACGTAACAAGGCTGGACATCTAGGGTAGCACAAGTTTAAACACCTGTTGCAAACCAGCCTCCCATAGAATGCCGAGATATCCAACATCATTCGTACAAAATTAATAAAATATAATGCGTGCACTTCCATCTCCCAATGGTTTCGTGGCAAGAAACATATTCCGTTCAACAATCAATGATTTAATTGCTGTAGACAATGTGTGCCTGAAGACACTCTTCTAGTTCTTACTGTCGGAACGTTTAACACATACTCTCAAACAACAAAGAAAATGTGAATATTATATCAGACATGTATAACAACCTACATGTATAAAAACATATGTAACATATGACAGGGATGGAAATGTGAATTTTTGTTTAAAAAATAATGTTTTACAGATTATCCAAAAAGAGATGCGTGTTTGGAATTCTTTTGGAAAAAATGAAACATCTTTAGTTCATTTATAGGATGTTTCAAGTCAATATCGGCCAAAGTGCAACCATAACAAGCTTAGACATCGACATCTAATTCATGAAATTGTGCACTGCCTAACCTATGCACGTAGTTTAAGGGAACCACCCCCATTCTCGATTTTAATTTTTCAAGATTTTCAATGGGCTGGTAAATCAATACCAATGCTCTTTAAGGTTTGTAACTTTGCACATATATAATTGAAGATTTAAAAGAGAAGAAAAATAATATACAAAAAAATTTTGTTATTGTTTTGTTGTTGTTTTTTTTTGTTGCCCGCCATTAAAATTATTTTTAATGGCGGGCATGATAACTGCTCGCTGGAACATCGGAATCCGAAAATTCCAACGGTGTTAGAAAGAGTACATGTCTGGCTCTCGTATGAACTAAGATTATTGACTTCGCTCTAAAATTTACAAAATGGCGGACCTTTAAAAAAATATTTTTTGAAAATCGCCGAAAAACGCGTTTAAAGTTTGAGAAGCCCTTTAGCCGTCACTTGATGCTGACACAATAAATCGGCTATATCTTCAAGAGTTCTTGAGATTTTCACTTGAAATTTTGTAGAGACATTCTTGACTTAGTGTAGAATCGAATTCAAACAAAAATAAAAATTGACCCCGAGAATGGGGGGTCCCCTTAAAACAAGTGAAAAAAGCATTAAGTTCGGCCGGGCCGAACTTTGTATACCCTCCACCATGGGTATACCGATAATTATTGGAAATGCAAATATAGGGAACATATCAAAAAGTACGCCTATGCCAACAATTGTACCAAGTAAATGTCGTAAACCATTACTTACAACAAATACGAAGACCGATATTGATAACACATGGTAGCGTGGAACATGTGTATAAAATCCTCAAACAGCTGCAATTTTGAGTGCAAAATTATATGAGGCTATATGGGTTCTACCCAAAAAAAATATTTATAATTTTTGTGAAGAGATTTGCTGCCCATTAAGAACTCAAGGTACAAACTTATAGCCAACTCAGTCGAAAAATACGCTCAAAGCCCCCCCAAAATACAAAAAAATAAGGAGTACCGTTATAACCCCGCAGAGAAGGTTGACCTATATTTACAATTTTTAGTGGGAAAATTTGGTACCCAATAAGAACCCAAAGTACCAAAATTTCAGCGAATTCAGTTAAAAAATGCGCTCAATAACCCCAAAATACAGAAAATTGGGAGTACACTTATACCTTATGCAAAATGTTGGCGATCTATCTCAATTCGACTAGAGACCGGATAAACGGACATGGCTAAATCGTCATCGAATTTTACGCTGATCAAGAATATATAGGGTCGGAAATGATTATTTCGGAAAAACTATGTATATATAAGCCATAGGCGTGGCTATATATATATATATATATGTCTTATTTATTAAGAATCCATAACTAGCAAAGGCGTTGATTAAAACAATGGTCGTCAACCTTACACACATAAATATAAAAATAAAATTTATTTAAATATCCCCAGAATATAATTATAAACCAGTAATTTTTTGTAAAAGCAACAAAAACGTTTTAACGATAACTGAAGGAAAGTATTTCACAGCAAACTATTTGTTCAGAATATTTAATTTTTAATTTTCCAACCCTGCCACCAGTATGCCCAAACCACCTCTCAACAAAGTTGACAATAAAGCATGATAGCTATGACATCCTCCATCACAAGGACGGGATCATAAATAAAATATGTTTTTTCCTCCTTTGTTTTTATTTTTGGCCAAAAGTGGGCTATAAAACGCAATACAGTTGTCCGCTCCCCTCTGCACCATGCAGATAATGGCAATACAACTTTATGCCTAACAACATAACTTATATACTATGGAGGTAAAGATTTATGACATCCATCAAAAAAAGAATGACATTTGCGTTACTCATCAAATACAAAAAAAAAAAAAAAAAAAATAGGAATAAATATGCGTGTATGCCTTTAATAAATTGTCAGTGACAATAAAATAAAATGAAATAAAGGTAAATTAAATTAAATCAACATAAGTGAA